GTGATGCTCCTGCAGCTTTCTGTGGGTGTTGGTTTTGCGTGTTGTTATCTCTTTGGGTTCTCATGGCTAAGCCAGGGCCTGCCGTGCAGCCCGAGTCCGCCCCTCGTGAAATCCCACAAGCATGAAATTTTAAATTCGCATGGAACCAGATCAGACAACAGTGCGCTGAACTTGGCTTTCCTTCTTTGGCTTCCTCATAAACAAGATTCAATCCATTTTCTGTCTTCTTTTTCACCCAGTGGTTATATAGCCACTGGGGACAAGTGTCATGCAGTTAGAAGGTGGAAGGTCTGCTCACCGCCCCACTCTGGGCCACTGTGTCCTCTTGTCTGCTGGCCCCAGGGCTGTGGCCCAGGTATGTGCTGAGACCATTTCCTGGGATACCCTGCTTCCTTTGCCCCCTGTATAAATCCTGTTTGGGCTTCAGGGCCCCACACCAAACCCTTTGCTCTGTGGAGTCTTTTCCATTGTTCCAGCACTGTAGGAGGTCCTTGAACAACTCCAGTACGTGTCATCTTAGTTCTGAACATTGGCAGTTACTCACTTACATGCAACTCATTTTTCTTACCATCTCTGAGACTTTATATTAATATTGTTCCCTGGTTCTTTGCCCACCAACTGGCCCCTAACATCAATTTTTCATGGTTTCTTCTTCCTCCTTTGAAAATACTTCATACTGTGCAAGTTGATGCTTCGTTAAGTACTTGCTCATCAGTACACAGATGAAGGGCTAAGTTAAGCTGGGCATTGCCTTCTGTGAAACCCATGAGTGCTGACCTGGTGACCTTGTAATCACATTTCTGAGAATTAAGAACTTGGCTCTCATGTTCAGGACAGCTCAAATTGCTGTTGGTAACACCAGAGAGCTGGCAATATCATGGTACGCCAGCATCTGAAGCTAGAATCTCTGAAGTTTGGAACTGAGGGAATTTGGAAGACTAGTTGATTCTCTCCTTAGGTGTATGAAGAACTTGGGACCCAGATTTCATTAATTTGCCCAAGTTCACACAGTGCCTGAGCTGTAGCCCTTGGCTGGGATTCGTGTACCTGGTCCCAGGGACCATGTTTACTGGCAAGCTTGGCCCTCTGGTCTCACGGCCCTGGATTCAAGCATGCCGGGGCCAGCAGGAGAATGGCCTTGTACACACTTTACCTTGTATTAGATGTATCATTTATCATTGGAAATAAATATTTGGTTCAACAATTTATGGTTTATTTTAATTTCTCAAGATACTGACCTTGCTTTCCTAGGTCTCTCACCTATTTCCCTTTTCCACACCCTCTGCCTTAGCCAAAGTGGATTCCTAGTTTTCATGATGTGGGCCTTTGTTCATACTGCTTTCTGCACCTGGAGAACCCTTCACCCTTATCTCCAAACATCCGAATTCCCACTGGTCTCTGAAGACTCAATTTAGAACTGCCTTGACGCCGTGGATTCTCCTAGATAGGTGGTTTTTAAAAATTCTTTAAAGTTTCGATCTCTTTTGTCATACTGAAGTATTTGGGGGGATCCCGATATTAAATCAAAGACCAACTGTTTTCACTGAAGCAGTGGTGGGGGCTCAGAATCCTGCCCATCTGCCTCAGAGGATTGGCTTGGGGCACAGTGGGAACATCTTTGCCCTTGATAATTAAACTCTTTCCAACTTTGGACCCCTACAGCATTTGTTCTGAATCCTTCTTGTGGCTCCTTATCACTTAAATCTTGTCTGATATGGTACCCTTTCTATTAGAAGGTAAAGCTCTTTGCAAAGAGTGTTTGTCTAGATCCCCCATGTTTCTAGAACAGTGTCCCACCCACTGAAGATGCTCAGGCAATACTGTTAATAAATTAATTAATGTAACTCCCATCTCTGTAGATTAGAGCATGAAATCCAACAGTTGAAGCAGAAGATCTGTGAGGTTGATGGTGTTCAAAAAGGGCATCGTGGGACCTTGGAGGGAAAAGCTGCTTCTTCCAGCTTGCCACCCAGTGCTGAAAAGTCTCACCTGGTCCCTCTGATGGATGCCAGGTACTGGACATTAAACTGATGCCAAATCTACATTTGTGATATGAGTTAATGGCTTATTGTACCTCATATGGTCCAGTTTGCATATGGAGAGATCTATCAAAGGTGACAAGTGATAGGTGTCCTTGAATTGTGTATGCTTTGTTTCCATCAATTGCTGCCTGGTGGGGAGAGGTATCATTTGAAGGAAACCAAAGACTGGGGACTGGCCAACCAGATCCAAGGAATGCTGGTGCAATGTTGTGTGAGCAGGTAGAATTAGAAGGTGCAGGGAAACCACCTCATCCAGAAAGGAGTGAACCAAGTCCAAGCTGAGAGGAACAAAGAAGTAGAGCTAATTGAACCATACCAAGAAGAAGGACCTTGTGCTGACAGTTAATTTATGGAAATATTAATTACAAATAGATGAAGTCTGTAACAAAAACTGTACCAGTATATTCAGAATGATCATGAATAGCATATACATCTGATGCTACTATAGTAAAATGATTTTCAACTTGAGTGGCATTGTAAATTGCTCTGTGGCTTAGAGCTTTCAGATAAATTGACTTAATCATTCTTTGCCTCTAAGAAAATGGATTATTTTCCTCAACTCCATCTGTGTCATGGGGATATTTCAGATTGGGCAGTCATGAGCCCTGGGCATTAGACAATATGTATTCAGATATCAAAATGTATTCAGAATGCTATGAGCCTCTGTATCCCCTTAAATCTAGGTCTGCATCTTCGGTGGGGCTAGTTTAACATTTAAGTAAAGGTCCAGAGAAGTAATTCATTTGTAAGCGCCCTTGGCTCTGGGTCAGCTGTGTATGATTTTCCTTTCGGTGCTGAAAGGTAACTACCACATTTTATTACCCTATCCATTCTTCTGTGCTGTTTTGCCTACAATATTAATCTCTTTACCTAACATTTCAGAAATTCATCCAGGCATGGTCAGTAGTACCGAAATGTTTCTAGGACTGTGCATGTGTTTAGAGAGATGAAAGCAGATTCTTTTTTTTTTTTTTTTTTAAAGATTTTATTTATTTATTTGAGAGAGAGAATGAGAGAGAGCACATGAGAGGGGGGAGGGTCAGAGGGAGAAGCAGACTCCCCGCAGAGCAGGGAGCCCGATGCGGGACTCGATCCAGGGACTCCAGGATCATGACCTGAGCCGAAGGCAGTCGCTTAACCAACTGAGCCACCCAGGCGCCCCGAAAGCAGATTCTTTTTTAGTGTGCTCAGACATAAACATGCAAAAACAGTTCATTTTAAATAATCCATCTAATCAGTGTTTCTAGAACTGGGGAAAGGAGAGCCTAGAACTAAGTGAGCCTTCCATGTGCGCAGCCTGAGCCACTAGAAGGATTTTAGCTGGAACTGAAATTCCCTGGTCTCCCCAGTTCCGCTGGGTGGATGGTGTGTACTTCCTACAATTTCACTTACGTTCTCGAGGGTACCAGATGTCTAGTTGACAACTGCCTCAGTAGTCAACCATTTCTTGCTTCCACCGTCTCAGCCCCATGCCAGGGAGTTTGGAAGATAGAGAGGCCTTTAAAATATGGTTTCTCCCAGCCAGGTACCAACGGAGAGACAAGACAGAGCAGAAACAATTCAAGCCATTGTTCCTTTGGGATAGTGAAGATTCACAGAGATTGTATCCACTTTTTTTTTTTCTTTCAATCCTCTTAAATGACTTTGTGATGTGAGAAATAACTGTCGCTGTTTTCCATGTGAGGGAACTGAGGCTTGCTGAGTGAAGTGCTGGGTCTCAAAGTCAGGGCTGAGGCCATGGAGCCTTCCAAAACCTGTGTCTGTGATTCTTCTCCGCCCTGCAGCAGGGGTTCTACCAGGGAGATCCAGGAGAGATTTGGATGGGATCACCTGTTCTCCGTTTTATCCTCAAGATTCTGTTATTTGTCCATTACTTTCTTGTTTTGGGAAAACCCAGATAGTGAACACATGGCACTAGATTTCTTAGAACGTAGAAGAATGTTCCAGGTCCCGAGTTGTTATGGTTGGTGTTTAGAATGAGAAAGTTCCTCGTTTTGAAGGGCATAATGAAGAAAGGATCTCACATGCCCTGTATAGTTAGAAGTCCTTAAGTACCACCGAGCCCACCTCTGTTGTTTGCAGGATCAGCGCTTACATTGAAGAAGAAGTCCAAAGACGACTTCAGGACTTACATCGCGTGATTGGTGAGGATAGCAGTGCATCTGCCGATGTGGTGAAGGTGAGCTGAGGGGGCCAAGCCATCGGTCATACGTTTCCAAGACGACCTTGCCATAAGGTGGTGGCGGCGGCAGTGATGGGCTCCTTTATTATTGTTTGTCAGTGAGAAAATTGAGATGCAAAATGTTCTAGAAAAATTAAATATTGCTTGGGTGGAGCTTAACAGGTGATAAACAGTGCTGATTCAAGAGAAACTTTATTTTAAAATGTTTTACTTCTGGGGAAAATGTGTAAGTGAATGTACAGTCTTCTAAAACATTTACTTTATTTGATTTATAAAGATTCTACATATAACATTTTTCTGTTTTCTCCAAAAATACAACCAATTTCCTTAAGTATTTAATTTTGCTTGATAAATTATCCTAAGTAGATATATAATTTTGCTTTTGAGAAGATAGGTATTTGCAATGTTGATTTTTATCAAAATAAAAACATTTCATTCCTATTCTGCAACCTAAGAAGTGTCCTAAGGAAATTTTGTTTTTAATATTATTCTTAGAATTTTAAGAGTAGGACTAGATGCTTCAGTTCCCTTACAGGCAGATGGATCGATAGAGTCATGTTTACCTCAGGAATATAAATTCTATAGAAGGGTTGTCATTGTTGAGCAAGTATGCTTCTTTAGAATTTTGTTCCCATAAATATTTCTAATCAAATCAGTTTCTTTTCCCTCTATGAACAAGCTATAATTTAATATAGAGGGCTTTTTATTTTCTTATCAGGATAATGAGAAACTCCACAATGGCACTGTTCAACGTAAGCTAAAATATGAGGTAGGTAATGATTTTTCAGATTGATAAGGTCGCCTTAAATTATGGCATGCTTGTGTGATTAAATTTTCTTAATGTTTAGTTGCATAATTAGAATTTTGAAGTCCCAGTGAAATTAATGGCTAATAGGGGAGGCAAGCTATTATATGGACTTAAAATTAAACGGAATCCTGCAGATTGAAAACTGCTTGGACTTTATTTGAATGGCATGTGACTGTGGTGGAGGCCGCTGGCCCCGTTTTTCATTTGTAACAGTATCCTTTCCTTTGGTCTGTATTTAAAAGGCAGAATTATATAATCAGAATCAGATACAGGGTTTGGAAATGAAACTGAGTACCTCTTGATGTTTTAAAAATCCTGCTCACTTTATAGACTGTGAGTTGGCAGTAGTACAAAAGACATACTCTTGGTTGATTCGCTTATTTCTCTGGTGGATTGTCAAACCAAGGTTTATTTGGGCATATGATTTATAAGGTTTTACTTGTACTTTCCTCCATGAGGGACTTGTCCTTCTCATACACTCCTAAATTAAAAAAACAAAAACACCCCCAAAGTACTAGGTGGTAGAAGTCTCACAGATGGCGCCCATACACTCCAGAACAGAGATGAAGGGGTGGGTGTGCCCCAGGAGGCTTAACTGACTTTGGCCACTGCCACACCTCCCTTCAGTCATGCAGTAATGACATTATCTTCCTCTGGACATCTGTCTCCCTAGCAGATAACCTTGGGAAGAGCAGGATGTTGCCCTTCATTTCTTTGTGCCCACTGTGCCTGGCCTGTAGCGGGCACCCAGTAGGCCTTTCACAGAGCTGGTTTGTAGCTGTGGCACTGGTGGTCTAACCAGGGCAGGTATAATTAAGAATTCCCGTGAAGTGAGCCAAGAGGCAAGAGGAAGATGACCAAGGTGGAAATGCTTGTCCATTTCTTTTGGCCTTGTCATCTGATTGTCATTAAGTACGCCCTTATTCCTTTTACATTCTGGACATATGGTCATAGGCTTGTTTTCACAACTGAGGCTGACCTTTTGAAAATGCAATCAAAGATCTTAGGATTTGTTTTGGAGCAATTAAAATATTAGACCAAGAAATGGATACTGTGGATCAATCCCATGCAGCGTTTTTTTTCTATCAAATACTCAGCAATTTGTAAGATAAGTAATATGGAAATTGATGTTCTGTTTGTGAATCAGATCATCTGTTCTTAAATCATGTATCAACCAGTATGAATGGCTTAGGCTTTCAATTTAACCTCTGCATTAATCTACACAATGAAACCAATGACTGCAAGAATCTTCATGTGCAAAAGATTTGCAAAAGATACTGCCACCTCCCCATTTCAACTGTTTTTGACATCTTGAACAGAAAAGGTATCTTGCCCCATTGCTGCCCAGAGACGTCACTGACACCGACAGCAGAGAAGAGGGGAGGGAGGTGGATTTGAACCACCACCAGGGTCATCCCAAAGACACAGAGCTTCCTGGGCTCTATGGCTCCCTCCTCAGGATCACAAGAGAGAGCCCGCCAGGGAAGTCACCAGCCCTCAGGACACAAGGCGCTGCAGACCAGTGCTTGCAGACATAGTCATCCTGAGCATACAGCTGTTTTCAACCAAAATGTTTCAATCTACCTGAAATCACTTTTCTTAACGAAAGCAACCCCGGCGACACAAAACGTATTCAGCATAGGTCAGGAAATCTCAGTGAGCTGATGCCTTATAAAGATGAACACAGCTTGGGAATCGAGTCCCACTGGAGTTTGCTGCAAGATTTGTCCCAAGAAGTGTCTATAAATAATGGAGGCAAGCAGACCAGGCGAAGCAAGTTACTCTGCTTTGTCCTCTCTGAAAGCATTTCTAGTGAGGAGAGGGCCTCCCACAGCATTCCTCAGAGGGCACCAGCCTCAACATTTTGTGGTGAGCAGCAAGTTGAGGGAGAGTTAGCTGCTAAAAAAGTTAGCTCTCCACAGTCCCTGATAAATAGCAGGACAGAAGGAACCAGTGGGTTGCGCTATTTTTGCCACAGGCTCTCAGACCTTTACAAAGATACCGGTAGTCACCTGCTACAGTCTGGCACAGAGGTGATCCACCACGGCAGGCATGTGGGGAGCCTGTGTGACCCCCGTGGGCTCACCTCCCACGTGACAACATTGATCAGAAGACTGCCGTTTCTGAAACTCTTTCCCTTGGATGCACCCCTGAAGTCACATGGGGGGTCTTCGGAGTCTTGTTCTTTCCCCAGAGAGGCTCAGGCTGGCCACAGCCACAGTGAGGAGGCAGGGACCACTAGGCCGGTAGAGAGTGCGGCGCCTTTCAAAGCACCAGGCCTTCCCACTGCCTCAGGGGCTGCAGGATCCCCAGGCTCCTGCCCAAGCTCAGTCTGCCGCCTAGGATATGAAGGTGCTAGAAGGAGCTGTGCATTTAAGCAGACCCTTGTGCAGTTCCCAGCCTGGATGCTGAAACTTCAAGAGCACCCTTTAGAAGACTTTCTTGAGCACGTGGCTCATTACCTGCCAGAACTTTCGGGTGACATGAACAGAGTCCAGGGTGTTTACTGGCTTGCTGTTGCTAACTGTGCAGAACCTGACCCTCAGCCAGCATGTTTGCTCCTGCTTCATTCCATGCTATATGCTTTGGTTCTTTCAGATAACCCATCAGGCTCAGTGGCTGTTTTTCATGCTCTACCTCTCTCTGGACTAGAGGAGATTCAAATTGGCTTTGGTGGGCAGAGCATCAGATTCCTGGGCTCTGCAGAGAGTCTCCTGCTCACCGTATTTAGTTACAACAAAGCCCTCTGTCAGCAGATATGCCGTGACCTCCTGACTGTCCTGTTGCCTGAGTCTGAGGTCCCTGCCTGCACTAACCATCCTTTGTTCCAGCAAGATCTGGTTCAGCTTTCTCTTGATTGGAAAGCAGAAATCCCAGATTTAGTTTTGACAAACGGAGTTCGGTTGTCATCCAGATTCCGGAATACCTTGGTTGACATGATTTACTTTCTTCATGGAAATATGCAAGTCAACATCCCCTCTCTGGCAGAGGTTCAGTTATTGCTCTACACGACTGTCAGTCAAGGGTGACCCCGCCCAAGACGAGTGCCTGTCGTTAGTCCTTCTGAACACCCACATTGCCCTTCTGAGGGAAGATCGAGTTTTCTATCCCCACGCCCAGTCTCTAAACACACCTCCTCCAGGAACACAATTTGATGTGACCAGATGCCGTGCTTTGAGCGAATTCAGGTGTGTTGTTGTTTCAGAGAAGAAAACATTGTCAGCTGTCGAACTTACCTTCTTCGAGAAACTCCAACTCCCATCCAGTTCAAGAAGTAGCCCAGCCAGGCACTTCGAAGAAGCCCAGAACGTCCAGTTGTTAGCTGGCATGCTGGGTCTTCTGGGCAGTCAGAATGCGGCAGCCAAGGTCTGGAAACTGATCCTCAGCTCTCAGGATGAGGCTCTGTGGCTCATCTCACATTTGACAAGGCTCGAGGAAGGAAACTTGTAAACATATTCTGCATGTTTTTTGAGATTTTTTAATAAAACGAACAAGATGAGAAGAGTCAAGAACTAAGACTATCTCTGTGTAGCTAATTGATCCGAAATTGGAAAAATCTAGACCTCCAAAATAGAAAATGTAAATATTCTAAATATTTCCGATAAAAGAAAAATAGGGGATAGCAGAGCACTTATAACATATCTTTATCACCACCCTGCGTCATTTTCTTAAACCTCAACCTTGTAAATTTGGGTCTGCCTCATTATTTGTGAGGTGATTAAAGCATTTCTGATTGTTTTTGGCTTCATGTCGACTTGTAGTATGGTGGCTTGGAATCTGTGTCTGCTGGATTCCGGCAGGCTAATTTGTGCTGCTTGAGAAAGTGCCCGGTTGGCAGTGACCTTCACTGACATCCTCTGTTTTCGCCATGATTAGGACAGCTCTGTAGCAGAGCACATTAGTAATGCATCAAGCTTCCTGGAAGGACCCAGGGATTTAAAATACCCTCCCCTCTAATACGTGGAATGGAGGCAGTACCACATGCCCTGCGGTGTCTTCTTGCTCAGTTAATTGCCTTTTCCTTCCTCCTCTCAGACTTCTTGACTCTTATTTTCCAACCTATGTGATTTCAGCTCCTTACTTGTTGGTTTAGTTTTGACTCCCCTTCCCCCTATGCCACATGCCCCCCACATGCCAGTTCTTTCTCTCAGTTTCTGTTACTTCTGTCCTAGAAAGGCTCTTCATCTTCAAGTCTTTTTCTCACAGCTCCTTCAAGTGATCTTATCAGCTGGAGGGTCACCTCAGAAGGCCTTTGGCACTTTCCCCTGGCTGCCCTCCCTCTCTGCCTCCCGCTAACCCTTCATCACTCATAACCTCTGACCGAGGTGTTCTGCTGGCCTCCCTTCCAAGGTGAGTCACGCCCATAGTGGCCTCAGGTACATCTCTCTTCACAAAGTACCATCTGGTACTCAGCTGCCCTCCTCCTCCGTGAGAGGCTTGAACCTAGGCCCTGTAGAATCTTCCTCTCCTCTGAGTGACCCTTTCTTTTTATCCACCTCTGTTCAACATTCCTATTGAGGAATCAGTTTGCATGTCTTTTATTTATTAGTTATTTCATTGGATCCTGGGCTGCTCAGCCAGTGTTCTCCTGTTTCTTGGGTGTGTATGTTCTACTAAACTCCAGAGTCTTAGAAGGAAGGAGGTGTTCTTCACTGCTCTGTCCTCCCTCTGCCACTTGCAGCCAGGATCATGCCAAGCTCATGGTAGGTACTCAGAGAATGTTGCAGGCAGTTGAACAAAGCGATTCCATGAAGCCATTTATTTTAACCCTGGCCTGGAAGGGTCATTCTCTGTTCTGGGCAGACCTTTGGATGATGTGCAGCATAAATGTCATCGCCCCTCTCTTCATTTCTACTCCTAATTGACGAGAGGGGCGCTGTCAAAGCTTAGCCCATCCCAAAATTCAGTGTCTCCCTTTGGCCAGGAAGTAAGGACCTTCTGTCTTTCCCCATCAGAATTAAAAGCTACTTAATGTGTTCTCCATCTCGTCATTAATTTTCCTCTAGCCAGGTCTGGGGCAGCAAATAGGAAAGGGCAGGAAACTGGAGGGCACATTAGGATGCACACACTATGGCTGCTGCCTTGTCTGCAGTAACCAAGTGGAGGCTTTTTGTCTTTTTGAGGCAATAGAATTCAGATGTTTTTAGATGGAGCCTGTTTTTGTCCCTTCCACCCCCTCAATACACACACACACACACAAACACACACACACACAAACACACACACACACACACCCTATTGCCGTATACATAAGGGTTTTGAGTCTCTGATGAGGACATCGTTAGAATTAGTTAGCTTGTCACATTCTTGGCTGGAAGATCTTCTCTTGTGGAAGAAATTTCGCAAATAAAGCATAGTAGTCTTCTAATATCAATAATTTTCACCTAATTTCAATTTTTTTTTTTGCTTTTTTCAGCAAATACTTTCTTAAAAACTGCCCCATTTGAGCATTTTCTCAAATATCCTTGATCGGAAGAACAGAATTAATGATCATAAAGAACAGAGGGAGTGAAATTTAAGATGCCAGCAGAGGGATGCTATAGTTGGAAGGGAAACAGTACATAAACAGTACAAAGATTTTAACAAAGAGTGAAAAATATTAGACTCGTTTGTCTTCATAGGTTAAAAAAAACATAGTTCTACTAGGTTATGAGTTATGGTCTTTAATATTGTTCATAGATGGAGCATGCAGCAAATATGAGCATTGCATAGAAGTCGTATTATTCATTGTAACTTCTTCAGTCTGCTTTATGATCCAGACAGGTCACAATGAGGATTACATTCAGATCTCACCACATAATAGAAGCAGCCTCCGGCAGTTCAAATTTTACATGTCTCTTCTCTCACCTAAGCATACTTTTTACTTTGGGAGCAAGTGTGGTTCCCTGATATGAAAATTTGATTTACCATCCATGAAGTAAGTACTAAGGTTGTCATACCTTAGGTTGTCCCTGTAGAAGCCAGCGGATTAGTCTTTGCACCTTTGCCCACTGTGGCTTCAGTCCTGGTGGCCTCCCTCCATCTCCACTGGCTCATTCTTTAGGAGTTCTGAGCCCATGACGCTACTATAGGGAGCAGGTGTGAGCATCTCCATATCCAGCCTAACGTGGGATCTTCTTAGTTATAATGAGTTCCTGCGTCAGAAAAAAAAAAAAACTAGGTTCATACATACTTTGTTATGTGGCATTTCCATTGTTGTCGTATGGGCATAAACATTTACATTGTGGAACTTGTTAATGCATTCTAGACAGTACCTCTTTGAGTACTTTGAAATAGTGATTTCATCTGAATTTGATTAAAATCCATTTTGCTCGCAGCTTCCTGTTTTACAGACTTGTGGTTGGCAGGGTGAATTTATTTAGTCTTTGTTGAAAAACATTTCAAAACCATTTGTCTACCCTTTCTCATTACTCAAAAAAATGTAAGTGCATCCTTTGGAGAGAATACTTATGCCTCCCAGCAGTAGTAATTACACTAATTTTTATTTACATTCTTTTTCCTAAATGATTTCCCTTTTATTAATAGATTAGAGCACTTTTATTATTGCTTCTTTGAAGGTCAAACAGTCTTATTGGTTAGACCAGTTTCTAGTGAGGTTATTTTGTTAATTTAGTTACACAGCCTCCAGTATGCCTCTTAGGACAATTCTGCTTCATCATTTAAGATATCTTTTGTGATAGATATTATATAAGTCGCTATTGCCAGGTGACCAACCCCCAATTTTAGTGGCATTAAAAAAAGCTTTCATTTCTTAATAATGGTTTGTAAGTAGGTTGAGGTGGCTTTACCATTGTCTCCATATCATCTGCAGCTCAGATAGGGTTAGTCTACTCAAGATGTCTCATTTTGAGGTCTGTGCTGAAGGGTCAGTGGCCATCATAATGATGACAGAAGCACAGAAGATGTGGATGCATCATGGCTGCCAGCATCCCATTGGCCAACACAAGTTATGCAACCACGTCCAAAGTCAAAGGGCAAAGAACACTCCATCCACCAAGAAGCCATGGCAACACTGGGTATAATGCTGCTTATGTAAGGAAGAGAAAAATAGGGAACAGTAGTTCACCATGTGATATTTTATGTCTAAGGCTCTTATTTAAAGTAAAATTCAGATAAAACTTATAGGACTTCTCCCTAAGGAAAGTATTCAGGTACTGGGAAGAACATAGGTCACAGGACCTTTTAAGTTACTTAGTTCAGCTGGCTTTCCGGTTCAGTCTTTTCTTGATACCTCCAGGCTGATCACTGTCTACCTCAGAGCAGTTCTTCACTGGGGACTGCTCTTATTGTTAGAGCATTCTTTCCATAATCTTCGTTACTGTGATCTCCATCTGCAGGGTTCATCCATCCTTCACATTCTTCTGTAACAGAATAGAACATGTCTGTTCCACAGTCTGTGTTATAACCTAACCGCCTTTCAGGGAGGACCATTATCTCTCTCGCCTCCTCTGATTTTCCTTTTCTACCTTCAACACCCTTCAGTTCCTCTGCTGTTTCTTATACAACATGGCCTCCAAACTACCACCATCCAATCTCTTGTTAGGGTTGCACCCTTGTAATTTTTTATAGCGTCCAATGGAACTGAATGATTCAGTTAATAAGAAGGAAGGAGAGTCTATTGTAAATCACTTCTCCTGCCTTTTAATATCTGGTTGAAATCTTTGGTTGCTGAAGATGCAGTGGATTACAGTGATAACAATCCCAACCACCCTTTATATTGTGGTTCACAGTGTACCAAGTTCTTTCCCACGTATTGCTCCTTTTGAGCCCCACAGTGATTGTCTTGGGATGGAGGAATTGTCATCAATCTCTACTTCAAATTTAGGAATTTAACTCAGAAAGGATAACTTGATTGGTAATTGGAATCAAACTCAGACCTTCTTACTTCAGAACATACATTATTTCCGCAATGCCAAAGTCACTCCCTGGTCAGTTATTCTTGACATTGTCTAGGTAAATTTTTTTATTGATTTATTTTTCCTCATAGGAATGACTATGCTAGGGATGAATATTTGGAAGTATTATGAAGTTGATTATTTTCTTACTTGTGAGTTCTTTTTTGGAATTTCTAGACATTAAAGATTATTTCTCTTTTTATGAGTTGTTTTTTCCCCCCCAAAAAAAAATTCCCATGCAAGTTTCTTTGCAATTCCATTGTTCTCTTGTATGAACCTATGTCTCCTTTTTGTTCTTTGCATTTTTAGCTCCTATAGAAGAAAAGCTTGGATACAGTCCTAGCATGAATATGGTGCAGATAACCATGTATGCTCAACATTGCTCCTCTAACTAAAGCTTAAATAATATGCTCTACAGACACCCTCTATAGAATCCTCCCTCTCCTTCCAACTTTAATTTCTCCTGGGCCTTAGAATTGAGCACAGACTGAACCAAAACCAGGGCTCCGCAAAATCAGTGAGTGGAGATGAGGGATACTTTCATGGTAATCAGTGACATTGTAGAACTAGAAAGAAGAAAACCTGGTTTTCCCTCCTGAACATCCTAAGCTGTCAATATTTATGTTTGGCATAAGAGCCACTTGGCAATTTTTGCCCTGTTCTCATTCAGTCATACTAGACCCATTCTTGAATCTTTTGAGAATTTCATCCATCTAATGGTGAGTTATCCAGAGATAATGACCATTAAAGGGACCAGTCTTTCATGATCTAGAGAAAGATGGTAACATTTTTAATAGTTTCAAGTTGAAACATTCATCAGATACCCAGTCTTTCCAAACTTTGAAACCATGTTGATCACCTCAGATCTATATGGATGAAATAATCTGTTCTGGTAAGAATCATGGATTAGAAATGTTAGCCAACCCTTTTGGATTTACCCTAAGGCCACTAAGGGTAAATAAGATATTCCACAAATATCTATGTCCAACAGTTTGTCATTTTGGTTAGTTTATCCCTACAGATTTATATCAAAATTAAAGAAATACTCCTTTATTTGAAAACCCTTATTTCTGTTTCCCCTTGGAAGTATTTTTAACTCACCTCACTTTAAAATGAGATCAGGTTAGTGTTGTGTCTTCATGCCTGGCTGTTGTGACAGGCATGGTCAGGGGACGCCTGTAGTATGTGTGACTACCTCTCTTAGCAAACTCCACTTCAGCTCTGTGTACTCAGCTTTCAGAGATGATGTGGCATTAGCACAAGGTCCCCTCACAGCAGAGGCAGGTATCACCTTCTGGAGATGAATATAAACATGTCTTGACTCTTGACTTTATTCATAATTTACACTTGCTCATACAAGGTATCTTTATTCTCTGCTTCTTATAACATGGCTCATACCTAAACATGGAACTGATCCTCATCATCTGCCCCAGACCCTTGTTTTCAAACTGCTGGGGCATAGGAGGTCCTTGATATATCCTAGCTCTAACTAGAACTATCAGTATGGCCTGTGTGGTGGAAAAAAAGGAGGGGATCGAAATATGAGCTATGCTGGGAACAGAGAAAGGAGAATTGGTAATTGCATTAAAGCTGATAAAAACCCAGCCTGTATTTGAGAAGCAAACCTTGGATATTTGGCTCTCGGAGATCAAACGGCAGTCCTTAGGTCTGACCTTGTCCTAGTCAGAGCATACACTGAATTCCACCATCTGGTACATAATTAGAGTATTTAGGGGAAATGTTGATGACTCCCTGTAGAATTGGTCCATTCTGTGCCCTCTGTGGTGCCGACATTGATCCAAGTGGATGTTAATGCCACTTCCTATTAATTTCCTTAATTTGTCCCTTTTGAAGGAGACAGCCTGAGTAGGAAGGGAAGATTCTAATCTGAATATTAAAAATGTAGCCTGTGTTCTGCCTGCTTTTTTTGGCTAAGGATCCAACTATAGTGTTTCCTCAACAATGGAAAAATAGCATATTTGTTGACACAAGACATTATTTCATTAAAAACTACCAGAAAAATATTTTTCTGTATCTTATTTTAAAAGATGATATTTCTTATTTAGAGAAATATAACCCAAGTTACTCATTATGTACTTTTGCTTGACCTTTCATTTCTAAATAGATCCACTCTGCAAGTCATTTAAAGTTCCTTGAAATGTCCTCCATATTTATCCAGATCTGCTGTAAGATGTGCATCCAGCCTTTCATGTTTCTTTACCTCCTCATATGATGTATGACCAACTTTCCTTCCAAGTCTAAGCATCTTCTTTGCCACATGTGGAGAAACTGGGACTGATTCCAAAATAAATAGTTCCATAGAAATTTAAAAGCTCCCTTAAATAATAGGATATAATATGATACAGCACACGTTTATTTGTCTAGCATGAAACTCAAGATATTCAAAATATAGCTACATTCAAATAAAAAATAAATTTAGGAGACATTTATGTTAGTTCTCCTTCCTCTCCAACATAAACGTAGTTTAGGAGAATGTCAGGAATCTTTCACACTGTGTCCTGAGAATTCTACATTCCTCATGACGTTGACTTCAAAAAGTAGTTCCTAAAAATTACACTGCAGCAGTGGTTTGATGGAAACACATACTCGTTTGATTTGTCTCTCTGTTCATCTATGCATAGATAAAACTCAAATGTCTTCAGATCCCTAGCTTATTTTTCAGTTAATCATTTCTGCAGTTGTACATTTCTCTACACTCATTAATATTTAGTTACTCTGAAATCTTTGAGATTGAAGTAAACTGTGCCTATGGGTGGTAACAATATTTCTAGCCCCAACATGCTATTAAATAATGGAGAAAGAAGTATCTGTCTTCTCAACACAGGATGCAGTTAAACTTCACTGTCTGATCATGTGATTGGGGCAGTGGCTCTTTTTTTTTTTTTTTTAAAGATTTTACTTATTTAAAGTCAAACAGAGAAAGACATGTATCATATGACCTCACTGATATGAGGAATTCTTAATCTCAGGAAACAAACTGAGGGTTGCTGGAGTGGGGGGTGGGGTGGGAGGGATGGGGTGACTGGGTGATAGACACTGGGGAGGGTATGTGCTCTGGTAAGCGCTGTGAATTGTGCAAGACTGTTGAATCTCAGATTTGTACCTCTGAAACAAATAATGCAATATATGTGTGAGTGAAGGGGGGGAAATCGGAGGGGTAGACGAACCATGAGAGACGATGGACTCTGAAAAACAAACTGAGGGTTCTAGGGGGGTGGGAGGATGGGTTAGCCTGGTGATGGGTATTGAGGAGGGCACGTTCTGCATGGAGCACTGGGTGTTATGCACAAACAATGAATCATGGAACACTACATCTAAAACTAATGATGTAATGTATGGGGATTAACATAACAATAAAAAAAAATTTAAAAAAAGATTTTATTTATTTGAGAGAGAGCACGAGCAAGGGGATAGGCAGAGGGAGAAGCAGGCTTCCTGCTGAGCAGAGAACCCAGTGAGGGGCTTGATGCCAGGGTCCTGGGATCAC